CCCCCCCCCCCCCCCCCTCCTTTTGTTTTTTCAAACAAGGGGCGCAGTGGGCTTCAAATGATTTGAAAAGTACTGAGGCTGGGAATCCTTGACAAAAACAATCTGGAGGATGAAGCTTAGGGCGAAGCCCAAAATATCACAGGCGTTGGGATCCAACTCCAGGGACAGAAATGGACAATATACAAGGGGACCGGTGCCCTGACATTCCTCAACCCCTCTTAAGGAACGAAATAGACACCACCAAGGCCCACAGAACCTCACAATCCACAGGCCTACCACCCTACAACAACAAACGAGCCACAAGGGTGAGGCATGGTTGACATTCCTCAACCCCTCTTAAGGAACGAAATTGTCACCACCAAGGCCCACAGCACCTCACAATCCACAAGCCTACCATCCTAGAGCCACAAACGCGCCACGTCGGTGAGTCATGGTTTTGGATATGCCTTTGACGTTTGATCGATCGGTGTTGAGCGTGGGGTATGTGTTTGCTGTTGTGATGTATTGATTGCAGGTCCAGGAACGCCACGGAAGCGGGGTGCGCCATCGGTGGCACCGGCGACGCCTGTCGGAAAGAAGGATGTTGGCGGAGATATCATTTCTGCACAGTCGAGGCTGCGCGATTTCACGTATGCGGAATTGAAATCGGCCACGCGAAACTTTCAGAATTTAGTGGGGGAGGGTGGGTTTGGGCATGTGTATAAAGGGTGGCTGGATGGTGGAGGGCAAGTGGTAGCTGTCAAACAGCTCGACAGGGAGGGCATGCAAGGGCATAAAGAGTGGCTGGTAAGAACGTATTTCTTTGCACCCCCTTTTCCCCCTCGCCTGCCGCCCCCCCACGATGTGACTCGGCTTCAGGGGAGGTGGGCTGTTGTCCTTCATTTGTGTCTTCTCTCTCTTTTGTCCTTTGTCTTTGAAGTTTGAACACCCGGTTGCTTGCTGGTGATAAGCAACTGCCGGGCTGTTGGCCCCCACAGAATAGAAGTGGTGTGTTAAAAAAAAAAAAAAAAAAAAAAAAAAAACGATTTTCTTTGGTTCCGGTTTGTTTGTCAGAGTTTCTGTGTATTAGAGCTATATAATAATATATCTGTTTTTTTTTGTTTTTTTTTTAAGATCTGGTAGTTTTATTCACTTTTGATTGCCTTTCCTTCGCTGATAACTATCTGCCGATTCTGTTCGAGTCGTTGTGAGAGTGCATCTGCCCCAAATGCGTGTGACTGTTCAAGTCATTGTGAGAGTGCATCTGCACCAAATACGTGCAACTGTTCAAGTCGTTGTGAGAGTGCATCTGGCCCAAGTACGTGGAAGTGTTCAAAGTGTTCAAGTCATTGTGAGAGTGTCCTCTGCCCCAAATACATGGAAAGGATGGTTATGCCGCTGGTACGGTTGTACTCTCAATGTTTCTCTGCTATTTGATTGTCAGCGTACATGTGGTGCAAATGTGAGGGGTGGAGGTGCACATGAGCATAGCAGCGTTTGGGTCTTTACCTTGTGAGAGTGCATCTGGCCCAAATGCATGGAACTGTTCAAGTCATTGTGAGAGTGCGTGCGCCCCAAATACATGCGAAGGATAGTTATGCTGCGGGTATCGTTTTTGTCGAATATTCTCTGCCATTTGATTGTACCAGATAATATAGTTATGCTGCGGGTACCGTTGTAGTCGAATATTTCTCTGCCTTTTGAGTGTACCATCTGGTACCAATAGGAGGGGACCTACGCATGCAGCGCGTTCCTTGGTCAATCGGTGGTGGTAGCAGTATCTCAACGGTTGGTGGCACAAGTATCACGGACGTAGCGGCGTTTGGGCCCAAACGGTCCCTTGGGCCACCAGTGTGTACGAGTAGTACCTCAACGGGCGAGGATTTGAAATATTCTTCTCCCTCCCCCCAGCCCTGTGCCACTGAAGTGATTGGCATGCTGCGTTTATATTTTATTACATATTTATGATCCTGACGTAGGGTGTCGCTCCACTATTCATCATATGCACAAAAGACAAAAAATAGTGCGGTGCATCTTTCCATGTTCTAGCAGAAGATTCATTCTCAATTTGCACATTTGGCAAGTAGTGGAGCTTGGCCGATAAACTTCAACTCCTTTACAGGGGAAGGGCATAGCCTACAGTCTTCCCCCGAATACAACGTATGGTCATTATAGTCGAATTTAGACTGAAAGACGCCCCAAATTCAGCTATAAGTCACAAATATAGATGGCTCTACTTATCAAATTTCCTGTAGAGATAAAACCAGAAAAAAAAGGACATTCATTAGCGATTTGATGGCTATAACTCAACCCCTTGCACCATTGGTGCAAACCATACTACTGGTCTTCTTTTTTAAGGAAATTTTGACCACACCTGGGGGTGGTCGAGTTTCCAAAACAGGAATGCTTCAGTTGTGATCCTCTCCACTTGCACCCTTGTGGTGCAGATTGTACAACTCGTCGTTTGAACCTGGTACAGAATCCTGACCATGTGGGCATTGATTGGGTTTTCGGAATTCGAATGGGTTGGTTGTGATTTTTTTCCTTTTCAGTGCAGTGGGGGAGAAGCTCCTCTCTACCGATCCATGTTGTTCTTTTTTGAAGGGTTTTTTTTTTTTTTTTTTGACTCGAAGTTTTCCGTCGCCAGATCTGAAGATGGCACACGTCGACCATGTTTGGCTGCTTTATGTGTGGCTCGCGGGATTAAACCACCAGTTTGTCACAGCCCCTCGTTTGCTGTCCTCTTCTCCCTTTTGTCCCTCTCTGCCTACTGTTTACTGGGCGGCTCTGTTTGATGATACATATATATATATATAGAATGGTTTACGAATGGGAATACCCACGTCTTGATGACGAACAAGGCCATCTGCTGTATATACATATGCAATCTGGGATTTTTGTTTTTTTGCAGACGAGAGTTTTGTCCTGGGTGGTCTTGTCATGTCGTTTGGCCTGTGAAGGAGGGGCGGTGCTTGCATGTGGGACTTGTCATCTAGGATCAGTTTTTGGTGCTGTCGCTTGTTGCCCCCTGTTTTGTTGTATTTGGCTGTTCCCTTCCTCTTTTCTTTGCCTCTTTGCCGTTTGGCTGTGTGCAAGTGGGTTGATATGACACACGGGGGTGGGGGTGCACATGGGGGTGGGGGCAGCCGCCGCCCAACCTACATCGACGTGGGCGTCCTTGTACGGAAGAGGCTCTGAATAGAGGGAGTTGTATCGGTGAAACTCCGACGAAACAGTTTGTCACAGCCCCTCGTTTGTTGTCCTCTTCTCTCTCTCTGCCTACGGTTTACCGGGCAGTTCTGTTTGTGACGATATATATATATATATTTTGTTTTTTTGAGGGCATGTCTTCATCTTCTATATACATCTTTAACTCTCTGCGACTGAGCTGTTTTGGTAGGCACTGCTCTCTGTCTGTGTAGTGGATATCTTGACTGGGTGAAAAAAAAAGCTGATCACTGTCTGCCATTTGTGTGCAACTCTCTTTTCAGGTGGAGGTTAACATGCTTGGCCAGTTACAACATGCCAATCTTGTGAATCTGATTGGCTATTGCTCGGAGGGCGAGCAGAGGCTGCTAGTTTATGAATTCATGCCGCGTGGCAGTCTGGAGAATCATCTATTTAGAAGTGAGCCAGGACAAGTAATCCCTTGTGACCCCATGATCTCCCTTGTGACCCCATGACGGGGTTCGAATCTTGGTATAGTTTTGATGGGAAGGGTGGCTCAGAAAAACAAACGTCTTCGGCGGATGCAAAAAAAAAAAAAAAATAATAATAATAATAATAAAAAAAATTTCCAGGGGCAGTGGGAGCGCAACAGTCGGCGAAGTTGTGCAAACACATCACAAATGTGCGAAGAGCACTCCCACTCCGAGAGAGGATGAGTGGGGGTATGTTGGGGTCGGCAATGTTTGCCATCTTCCAATTAGAATAAACTGCAGGCTTCCCTAGCCGATGGAGATGGATGTGGTTGTCTGTGATGGTTGGTTTCCATTTTTTCTGTTCGTTAACTCAGGGTAGCATATCAAAAAAATAAAATAAAAAAAATCAGGGAGTCAGGGTAATAGCATATGCCAACGATCATAGTCCAGCTGGTATACCTCCTGAACTGTTAAAATACAGACTTGAAAAAAGAAAAGAAAAGAAAAAAAAAACAGACTCGGGCTGGAATGCAGATACCTTCAGACGAACAGAATAAAATAATTTCGAATTGCCTCGGGCCGGTCAGTTCAGCGAGGATATCCAAAGGCCGTTGCCCTAAAAAACAAAAACCTCAGCGTTGCGTATGAGATGAGCCTCAAATGGTTATACTGAGGACTGCAAGTCTTCCCTGACAGTTCGGTTGGACCTCATAACACTGCCAGTACATTGGCCATATCGGAACTGACCAAGCAGTTCGGTTGAGAATGGAAATAGCGCCAATCCGGAAAATTGTGGGGGCTCAGGCGACCAGACCGTGACGTAGATATATAGAGCCAACACGAAACTTTTGGCGAGTTGGGCTCAGGTAATACGATGTTGCGGTTACGGCAGCGAGAAAAGAGAAAAAAGTGCGCCACTTGCAGTTGAGCGAAGCTTGGCACGTGGTGTGAATCGGGCACGGCAAAAAGAGGCTCGGACGTACTGGTGCTCCTTTTGTGTTTTGAGCCTCTGGGCGTGACCTGGTCTCTGCGGCTGGAAGCTGTGATCGCCAGATTGGCCATGCAACGGGGCCAATTGAGGAGTTGGCGCGCCTGTCTTAACCGCTCTGTTTGCGAGGTTGGTCATGTGAATACCACCACCAGTACACCTGGGGCTGTTTGGCCGAACTGACGCGACCCCTACACGGCGAAAATTGCCGAAGCGCCGTCGCGGCATTTATTCTTTTTGTTTTGCCTGGCGGTGGTGGTGGGGACCACTTCTTTTTCTGCAAGGCTGGGGCCATGTACTGGTGGTGGTTTAACCAAGACTTGTTCGAACTCACTCGTGGAGTCAGCGATCCCTTTGAGAGGAGCAGATCCAGAAGAAAGGTGTTCTCTTTGTTGCTCTGCTGCATCAATGGTTTCATCTCCTTACCCTGTTGGCCCTCTGCGCTGACCGACTCCGGATGGAAAAGTGCTTTGTTTGTCTGGACCTCTGCCCCTTTTTGCAATGTGTGTAGACTTGTCCAGGAGGGGTTATGCTCATTCTAGGAGGGACCCTTCTTGCTCTGCGTCAATGGTTTCATCTCTGTACCCTGTTGGCCCTCTCAGCTGACCGCCTCCGGATGGAAAGGTGCTTTGTTTGTCTGGACCTCTGCCCCTTTTTGCAATGTGTGTAGACTTCTATAGGGACCCCCTCCTTGTGCATATTCACAAAAAAAAGGGGTTAGGCTCATTCTAGCAGGGACCGTGAGGGAACCCCCTCCGTGTGCATATTCAATAAAAAAAAAAGAGACATCTGACCGTATTTTTGGACGTGCAATGGCGTTTCTGGTGCAGGAAATGCGGTTTGTCTTCCGTGGCAGATCCGAATGAAGGTTGCTCTTGGAGCGGCGAAAGGTCTTGCCTACTTGCATGAAGAGAATCCTCCTGTCATTTATAGAGACTTCAAGACTTCGAACATATTGTTAGATAGTGTGAGTACCCTTTCACTGACTCTCTCCTTCTTTCTGTGCTGTGTTGTGGTGTGTGATGATCAATGAAAGTTTGTCGCATGCATGGCTATGTTCGCCTGCGCCTTGACGGGGTCTCTTCCTGTTTTTTTTGCTCGTGTAAGGTTGCGTGCGGCTTGGACGATCCCATGCCAATGGTAATTTACATGTGGCTATGTTCGCCTGCAACTTGATGGGTACCCGCGCTAGACACGACCCTCCCAAAACACAAAGAAAGCGGTGAAGAACACAGCAAAAGTCGTCAGCTATAATCGCAAAGAAAAAAGTGTCAGTCCTAATGAAATGGCAGTTTATGATCAGTTTAACATCTGATCCGTGGTCCATCGGACTATATTACAAATTCAGAATAATACTAAATAATATTATTATTAATATATAAATAAGGCTTATGTTTTTGTCAAGGGCAATCAGTAGACTAGATTCTTTGGTTGGGGTGGGGAGGGGGTTTACTGTTTAATCCTGGCATCAGCTGCTTGCTGCTTGATTGTGCGTAGGTGTGGAAAGAGTCGGTTAGCTGAGGCCTCAATTTTAAGAAATGTGTGATGCCATTTTTATAAGAAAAACCCGAAGGACTTTTTGAACGAACTTACCACCAATACAATATTCATATACAAAATATATTTATTTGTATATATGAATATTGTATACATGAGTATACATGAGTTGGTTAGCGGAACGGAAAGTGGGGGTCCCCGTTAACCAATTGTGGGTCTGTAAAGGTGGAGTGATGTGTGTGGTGCGGTGGGTTGTGAATGTCAGGGGAATCAAATCTTGTTGTTGTTGTTTGTTTTTTTTTGTGTGTGTGTGTTTTCAGGAGGTCTTGAACTCTCGACTACGGTCTTCCCCCGAACATAACACACCCTAAAAACGAATGTATACTAGCTATATTTCCGGCCAGATATAGCCAAAATGAGGGTGTGTTGTGTTCGGAGGAAGACGGTAGCTGGGCATGAGTAGAAGTGTGGATCATGATGAATAGGGGCGCCCGTTAATCTTGTTTTTTTTTTTTTTTCTGTGTGTGTGTGTGTGTGTTTTGCTCTGTTGTTTTTTTCAGGACTTCACTCCAAAGCTTTCAGACTTTGGGCTGGCAAAAGAAGGGCCAGTTGGAGATAAGACCCATGTCTCAACGAGGGTTATGGGTACCCATGGTTATGCGGCCCCAGAGTATGTCATGACAGGTATTGTACTCGATAATTACGGTCATTGCTGAATTGAATAATGAATTCTTTGCTTAAGATTAACTAACTTTCCAGAGTTGGACAGTGGAGTTTGCTCTGTATGTATGTATGTATGTATGTATGTTTCACGGAACTTTTGCGGAACTTTTGCGGAACTTTCACCCTTCCCGTCCTTCTTGTGAACTGGGAACGTTCTTTTTTCCCTTACGGTTATTATTAGCGCCATAATGCGAAGGTATGAGACCCTGAAAAGACCCCATTACCTTCTTAGTCTGCCTGCTGTGCTGTCGTCGTTTATCTCGTGTGGGTGAGCAGATTGCAGTTGCATGCTGGAGGTGGTTATGGGATTCCTCGTTTACGGAGAGAGCCATATAGAGACACGTTAAACCGCCAGTATATCTGAAAAAGGAGATTGAGCCTGTCTTAGAAAAATAGGAAGCCATGAACTGTCGAGATGATTCATTCTATCGACGGTCTACGGCCTCCAGATTTTTAGCAGAGGCTCGATCTTCTTTTTCGGATGTACTGGTGGTTTAAACCGCCAGTGCACTTCCCAGCTACTCTTTGTCTCAATGTGGCGGCGAACCAATGGCATGGTTGTTTTCTTCTTCTTGAGTGCAAAGAAGAAATGCGTATTAGAAAAAAAGATTTGGACAGACTGGTGGTTTTATAGGGCGACTTGGAACACGTCGAGACTGGCGCATGAAATCAGCTCTCTCTCTCTCTCTCTTTCTCTCTCTCTCTCTCTGTCTGTATCTATCTATCTATCTATCTTGTCCTCCCACAGACAGGGTAGCTTTCTGTCTAGAACAGTGTGGT